TGCATTTGCCGCCGCCAGTGACGGCCTGCAGTGCCCTCGCGCCCGCTATCAGGAACGGTTTACTAACGGCTGCATTTCGCTATCAGAAAGGATCCCATTCAGGAGGGAAAAAACAAACACAGACACACTTAATCGTCGATTCCCGGGAACCTATGCGAAACTACGGGAAGTGTGGGTGAAAACGAAAACCCATAAGATATGCCAGAATATGGGGGATCCTGGGCTTTGTGTCTCTTGATTTGTGTGCCCCAGGGCCCCATTCAACATCCCGCTATCAGGAAGGATCCCATTTCACCCACCCCGCTTCGCATCAAGTTCTCTGGCCCCTCGGGGACCGACAGCGGCCGTAGTCGCTGTCGATGTGCTCGCCGCGTGCTGCTGCGTAGGAGGGCGCGTGCGTCATGCTGCCGTAGCTGAAGATCAGGAGGAGGAGGAGGAGGAGGAGGAGGAGGAGGAGGAGGAGGAGGAGCAGGAGGCTCTATACAACCGGCCGTGCTGCCGCCGTTGCTCGGAGGCGCATTTCTCCCATTCTCATTTTAAACGAGTGGTGGGTGACAAAAACACACTGTCCGCCTCTGCCCCCGTCGGACGAGCGGAAATGCGAGCGCAATGGCTCGCGCGGTCTTGCGCGACGCTCGGCGTGGGCGTCGCGGCGGCGACGACGGCGACGACGACGGCGGCGGCGTCTGCGCCGACGGTGACGACGACGGCGGCAACGGCGACGGCGGCGACGACGACGAACATCGCGGGGACGGCGGCGACAGGTCCTGGGCCCTCGGGCGAACTTGCGCCCCGCGCTCGTTCCTGGAGTCCCGCGCCAGATTGTACAGGAGGAACAGAACTCCTGTGCGCAGTTGTACCCCGGCCGTCTTTCTGCTTTACTAATGCTCTCTTTTTGCTTTAGTATAACGTCGTTTGTTCGCGATGTATTGGTCGGCGCGCTTTTACCAAAGCTGCTTAGTGAGGAGGGGGGAGGAAGGAGGAGGACGAACACGATAGCGAGGAGGGGGGCCTCGGGAGGGGACGGCTTGGGCCAAAATAAAAAACGATATTGAAACCACCTTGGGCCATCGTGCAAGCTGCTCGTGTCCCCCTTAGGCAGTTTGGGCCAACTCGGCTCCAACTGCAACCACCTCTCGCTTTAGTGAAGCCGCTTCCTCTCTTTAGTGAAGCCGCTTCCTCGCTTTAGCAAGGCCGCTAACAGGAACGGTTTACTAACGGCTGCATTTCGCTATCAGAAAGGATCCCATTCAGGAGGGAAAAAACAAACACAGACACACTTAATCGTCGATTCCCGGGAACCTATGCGAAACTACGGGAAGTGTGGGTGAAAACGAAAACCCATAAGATATGCCAGAATATGGGGGATCCTGGGCTTTGTGTCTCTTGATTTGTGTGCCCCAGGGCCCCATTCAACATCCCGCTATCAGGAAGGATCCCATTTCACCCACCCCTCTTCGCATCCAGTTCTCTGGCCCCTCGGGGACCGACAGCGGCCGTAGTCGCTGTCGATGTGCTCGCCGCGTGCTGCTGCGTAGGAGGGCGCGTGCGTCATGCTGCCGTAGCTGAAGATCAGGAGGAGGAGGAGGAGGAGGAGGAGGAGGAGGAGGAGGAGGAGGAGCAGGAGGCTCTATACAACCGGCCGTGCTGCCGCCGTCGCTCGGAGGCGCATTTCTCCCATTCTTACTTTAAACGAGTGGTGGGTGACAAAAACACACTGTCCGCCTCTGCCCCCGTCGGACGAGCGGAAATGCGAGCGCAATGGCTCGCGCGGTCTTGCGCGACGCTCGGCGTGGGCGTCGCGGCGGCGACGACGGCGACGACGACGGCGGCGGCGTCTGCGCCGACGGTGACGACGACGGCGGCAACGGCGACGGCGGCGACGACGACGAACATCGCGGGGACGGCGGCGGCAGGTCCTGGGCCCTCGGGCGAACTTGCGCCCCGCGCTCGTTCCTGGAGTCCCGCGCCAGATTGTACAGGAGGAACAGAACTCCTGTGCGCAGTTGTACCCCGGCCGTCTTTCTGCTTTACTAATGCTCTCTTTTTGCTTTAGTATAACGTCGTTTGTTCGCGATGTATTGGTCGGCGCGCCTTTTACCAAAGCTGCTTAGTGAGGAGGGGGGAGGAAGGAGGAGGACGAACACGATAGCGAGGAGGGGGGCCTCGGGAGGGGACGGCTTGGGCCAAAATAAAAAACGATATTGAAACCACCTTGGGCCATCGTGCAAGCTGCTCGTGTCCCCCTTAGGCAGTTTGGGCCAACTCGGCTCCAACTGCAACCACCTCTCGCTTTAGTGAAGCCGCTTCCTCTCTTTAGTGAAGCCGCTTCCTCGCTTTAGCAAGGTCCGCGGTCTGCCTTACAAAGCCCCGAGGATTCGGTTGTGATGCGGGGCCAAGGCTCGGTCGGGGGGCGGTTGGCCCTTGTCTTCCCTGTCAGTTCACCCCGCGATGTATGTGTTCGAATAGTCAGGGTCGCGTTGCATCGCGTCGCGGCGATCTTCGGACCTGTTTTCAGCGAGCTGCGTCTGTTCCTTGAGAGGAGCTTCAGGGTGTGAGCGCATGAATTGGCTCGGCAATTCGGACGCGCCGCCGCGGCTGTCGCGCAACAGAGTAAAAGTACTTTACTTACTAAAAAGGCTGGTTTCCTTTAGCAAATGGCTCCTTCAAAGTAATCGTGTGCATTTTCCTCTTCCAAGTTGCGGTCGGTGATTGCGTACATTTGGGTGGACAACCAGTGCCGAGATGAGGTATAAGAAGATAGCAGCTGGTGGTCTCTTGTCTTGAGCCCAAATGGCTATGCACTCCCCCTCCTCCTCCTCCTCCTCCTGCTCCTCCTCCTGCTGCTGTTGCTCCTCCTTCTCCTCCTCCTTTTCCTCCTGCTTGTCCTCCTCCTTCCTGCCCATCCCCCCGCCCCCCGCCGCGTCCCCCCCCCCCTCGGATAACACGCGCAGGCGGGGGCGGGCGGGGAGGGCGCGCGCCCCCGGCGGCACGGGCCGCGCGCCACCAAGGCTTGCGCGCCGTGGGCCCCCCCGGCCGCCGCCTGGGTCGGGCTCTGCGTCGTGCCGCCGCCTGGCTTCCGTTCTTTCGTCCGTCCTGCCTCATGTTGTCCATTCTTCCTCCTGTTTTCTCCTTCCTCTTTCTCTTTCCTGCGTCCTCTCTCCTTTTCTTCATCCGTTCTCTTCCATAACTGAAATGTGCGGCGACCCGAAAAGCCCCGCAAGAGTTGTTTCGTCATTTTCCCGAAAGCCATGCAGGTGCTGTTTCGTCACTCTCGGCCTCCAGGTGTCATTGCCGGACCACGGGACCGTCTAACATGACTCGATATGAAAAATTGGTCCCGTGGAAAAGGTCAAGTGTTCCAGGGGCCCGCAGCGAGTTGCTGGAGGCATGGGTCTCCTACTGGAAGACCCTCCCCTGCCCCTACTCCTCCGCTTCCTCGTCCTCGTCCTCCTCTTCCTCCTCCTCCTCCTCCTCCAGAAGGAAGCCCCTCATTTCATCTCAGATCCGGGCGTCGTCAAGGATATGACGACGAGCGATGCTGCCACATTTTTGGGGGCTCTGACGTGCTCTCGCGGAGCGATCTCGCCAGAGAAAATTGTCGCAGGAAGGTGGGGTCGAGTCGGCGTCGCCCCAACAGACTAATACTATATGTGCCTCGCCCCTCTGGGGGCGACGCGCGCACCGATAAAACTTATAGGATATGCGTCGTTGCGGGCGCTTTCTGACCACGCCGTTCGGGAAACGATGTACTACAGCATGGGTATACTACATGTTCGGGTCGAACGCGCGTTTCCCAGGAGGACATATAGTATTAGTATACCTCTGTGCGTCCCATCGAGGGCTCTGTTTGTCAAAGTTATGACGTGATGTTCTCTCTACGACATGGGGGTCTTGGGGGAAAGAACATGGAAGCGTCCTTCTGTTAAATCCCCAGTTCCTGGGAACTTCCCCTCCCTCCAGAGGGGCAGGTTGAAATACGATGACCAATCACGATGATGAGGAATGGGGAGGGGAGTGAAGTAGGAGGGAGGAGGTCAGGACGGAGATGGGGAAGGAAGCAGGATGAGTGGAGGGCGACCAGGAGGGCGTACACGATCTCGTGCTAAGCCAAATCTGCGACCCGAGCGTTGCAATGCTGCTTTGGAGTTCGATGCAAGTTCCGAGAGTGGAGTGAGAAGTTACAGAATGCGTTCTCCGCTGTAAATAATCGGAGCCATAAGCTGTGTCACGTATTGAGTTCAAATGCTGGGACAACGAACGGAACGTTGCAATATCCCAGTGAAGGACACATACACATGGCGTTCCACGGAATGTTCATTCCTGCTTTATTTGAGAAAGCATCGGAAGCAACGCGATTCATAACCTGATCACAAGGAACACCGTGAGTTCAGCACCGAACAGTTGCCCACGCTAGATGGAGACTGAATTCATGGGATTTAGATAAGTGTGTTGTGTACAGTTCTGTTCGCTGCCAACCTGTCTGCAAAAACGGTCTTCTCCGTGGGCACCAAAGGACATGTGAAGGTGCTGCGCGGTCAGAGCAGTGGACAGCGTTGGTTTAGAGTCTCGATAAGTGCGGACATGCGTTTTCCTTGTCCTTGGCATTGCCTTTCAGAGCCACCGCGCTGCGAGTTATCATGGGCCATGCGGGAACTGGCGTGATGATTGGCATGAGGACTGGTAGAAAGGTCGGGCGCCAGGACACACATCAACAAACTGTCATGCGAACTGAGTGTCCGTAGCCATTTTGGCTCAAGCTGGCTCAAGCCGTCCCGCCTGAGCTCATGGTTGCGCACCGCCTCGCGTGGTTCTTTCAATTTGTTGCATGGTCCACCGGCGCTCTCCAGAGCAGCTCCGCCTTCGCCGTCTGCGAGGCACTGGCCTCGGGTTCGTCGACGCCAGCTCCGACACGGTCGCCGTTCACGTTCCCCGCCATCTTGTTCGCCGCGCGAGGTGCATGCTGCGGTCACTGGAGCTGCACGACTGCCACAACCAGGATGCAGGCTGTCCACATCACTGCGCGCGTGTCGCTGCTCTTCATGCAGGGCTCGCTGAAGGTGATCTTCGGGGAGCCCTTCGTGTCCACCGAGCTGCTAACCGTGCAAAGCATCAATGGGCAGGACGCCGTTCGGCGCATGGTCAAGAAATTCGTAAGCTGTACCTGGCCGATCTCCTCCCTCTTCCAGATGGTTGGGACACGGCTTCGACTGCTTCGGGTTGTTCCTCTTCGTCTTCTGCGCCTTCACTTGGCTTTCCGCCCCTGGCCTAGCTGCATCCTGGAAGTGTGGCCCCACGTGCGGAGGGCAGGGAACCTCGTCTTCCTGATCGGCTCCCTGTTCCTCCTGCTGCTGGCCTCCGCCCTTTTCATGCCGAGGAGGGAGGTGCTGCTCGAGATAAAGATCCTGTTCTTTGCCATTCTGGTGATTTACGTTCGCTCGCAGGGTGTGTTCGTGCAAATCTAGCTTGTGGCTATTCTGTTCATCGTCCTGAGCGTGCTGATCGTGGAGCCGCGGCGGGACAAGAGGATCCAGTTCCTGCAGTACCTGCTCCTGATCGTGGTGATGGGTCTCTGGGCCGCCGGTGGTGGTTTGCGCGCCAGTGCATCGCTTGCAAATGGCTGGATGACGCAGCTACGGGGTCCTCGTCTTCAACACACCCGGCTCCTGAGAAAACGCCCTCTGAGTCCCCTGGCAGGTGTTTCTGTGCTCCCCGAGGCCGCTTGGGTCCCCCGTTCGCTCCCGAACGATCCTGGGGAGGGCCGTCTTTTCTCTGCCTCGGGTGCTGAGCTGGGGTTCAGTTTTTCCACACCGTCGAGGCCAGGCTGGAGAATCAACATGGATTTCGAAGCTTGGGGAGATAAATCTGCTTCCCCCTGGGTGCGCGACGCCTCGGTGCGCCCATGAAGTTTTAGAGGTATATTTTCGGCTTGGCCTGCAGAGGGCAGCACTTTGCAGGTATCCCACGTTGCAGGTCTCGTCGTCTCCGTGTCCTGCTCCAATCCTTCAGAGGCTGAAAGAAAAAAAAACTGTCATGCGAAGTGCGAACACTGAGCCCCTGGACCAGGAAAAGTATCAAGGCGCCGACAGTCGAAGCACCGACATTGTATGAGCATTGTTGATTCTAAGAGTTAACGGCCAAAAGTGGCTTGAGCCGCGGTGCCCGACGTGGGGCGACCAGGGTTGCGGATTCAGCGGTTACCAACTGCCGGCCCATGGAGTTGGCGCGACCAAGGAGAGCAGGGATCGTGCATTTCACGACGTTCGCACAGTCGGACGGTGCAAAGTGACTTGCGGTGAGCGTCAATGCTGTTTCTGTAGTCTTTGGACGCCTCGGCGAGGAACTGATTGCCCAGATGGCAGATGCGGTAGGGAATGTTACAAGATCAAGCTATTAGGCAAGAGCGCGCGCGGAGGGGCAGTTGCAGTGCCTCCCCGCACAGGTGGCTGCACGGGAGGATGTATTTTTTTCCGATCTAGCCCGCGAAGGAATTCATGTTCGGAGTGGATCCCGCTTCTGTTCGCCTTTCCTTGCGTCCCTCTCCGCTTTCTATGCTCCAATTCGTTCCCTGCGTGTCTCGCGCGTAGCCCGACCGGCGCCTGCACCGGCTTCGACCCGCTCAAGTTGTTCCGATCTCAGTTGGGTTATGTCATATTTGTGGGGTGCTGTGGACATGGCCGTTCACCGTCGCAAGCGTGAATGGGGCAAACAAGGCGCCTGTTCGTCCGTTTTATTCATTGTTTTGCAGATCGGCGCGGGCTCCCGAGCCCCCCCCATGGAGGAGATCTTGGCTGTTTTCTGGCGCCTGTTTCGAGCGGGTGGAACCCCTCTCCCATAGGACGCATTGTCGCAAACAGTCGCACTCAGCAGAGGTCCGGAGCCAGCTCCCCCTCCCCCCCTTTCCGCCCAATGTCGAAACGCCGAATAAAACAACGCTCACCTGCCAAACCATCCTAGAAATTGTTTGAACCACGTTCGGCAGCGCTTGAGCCCGCTCCCCCTGCTCTTCTTGTTCCTCCGTAGTCCGTTGAATCTCTTTTAGGGGCCCACTGGCGTACATCACCGACCAATGAAAAGGTCTCCAGGAGCTGCTGGTGTAGGGTTATGCTGTTCCGACCTACTTTTGCCTGAATCACCTGAGAGTTTCGAGGGGCCCCAAAGCTGATCAGTGGTGGGGGTTGAACGATGCCATCCAGGCGATGGGCCGTCGCCGTGGCGACATTTATGCGTTCTTAGAGTATCTTCTCATGTTGAGACAGGGGGGGGTTTGTTCCAAGCAACTTCCTGGCCACTCAGTTGAGGGGAGTGGCAGCCAAGTTGCCCAGCGTCCCAGCCGAGCAAAGAGCCAGAGTTCTTAGGACCGACGCCTAGGTACGTGTGAACATAGAGAAGGCTCTTGAGGGCCGCTCTAGAAGCTTGTAAGGTGGATGGGGAAACGACCAGGCGCCATGCTGCCCCTGCTGTTGCCCCCTTTCTTGCTCCTGAGGTGATCTTTCTGCTAAATTCTAGCCATTGCATTGAGTCTTGCAGGAAAGCGTGCCCTCGTTGTCGTGGTTCGCGCAGCGAGGCCAGCTAAGCCACCTGGCTGGCCTCTGACTCTTGCCCTCTTTTGCGAGCGACTGGCCACCCTCTCAGGGTACCGCAGGGTCGGGGTATTCATCTCGCTGGGAGATGTTTCCATCTGTCTCATGAACTATTTTATCACGATTCCGGACCCTATGGTTCTGCATCCTGTGGGAGGTTTTTCTTCGTCTGAGCTCCGGGGACTGGCCTATCAGTGCACCTCCCCGAACCCCCCAGTGACCAAGACCAGGCGAGAATATCTCGACCGAAGCTCACGGAGTCTTCGGCCCAAAGCTTTCAGCAAGGCTGAGAAGGCGGCTCGGGGTCGGTTGTTAATTTTGACTCGCTTCGCGATGGCTCTCATCTCATCACCTCCCACCCCCGTCCTTCCACTCCTTCATCGACTCCCTCTTTCCTCTCTCCCTCTTTCCCTTTTTCCTTTCTCTATCCGTCTATCCTCCCTCCTCCCGCTCTGTCCCTATCCTTTCCCTCCTCCCCCTAGCCATCCTCCTTGCCTCGCCGCGTGAGTCGGTATCGGCGCTTCGCTTGCTCGCTCGCTCCCTTTGTTTTCCTTCTTCCTCTTACTCCTTCTCCCTCCCTTCCCTCACCCCCCTCTGCATCCTCCTGCTCCTTCTCCCGGACTCTGCCCTCCTCCTCCTCCTCCTCCTCCTCCTCCTCGTCCTCACTTTCTCTGCCTCCTCCTCCTCCTCCCCCTCCTCCTCCTCCCCCCTCCTCCTCCTCCTCCTCCTCCTCCTCCTCCTCCTCCTCCTCCTCCTCCTCCTCCCAGCCTCTGCCTCCTCCTCCTCCGTCATCCCCTCTCTCTCCTTCTCCGTCCTCCCCCCCCTCCTTTTCCGTCCTTCTCCTCCTTTGAAATCCCCCTCCCGCTCCGCCCCCCCCGCCCCCCCTCTCGGTCCTCCATCCTGCCTCCCCCGCTCCACCCCCCGCCCTCCTCTTGCGACGCGAGGCTGCGGCGGGCTTCTCCGCCGACGATGACCGGCGGCCGCCTCCCTGGAGGGTTCCGCGACAGGCGCTGCGAGGCTTAAGTCGGGCATGTCTTCCACAGGAGGATAGCGCAGAAATGGTATAACAAATCGTACGGGGACGCCTTGCCGATTTTGGTTATTATTATTTTTGCTACTTTGGAACACTTTTGGTGTATCTTTGATTGTTCGTCCAAAATCCGCCTGAGGGAAGACACGCCCGACCTGACGCGAGGCGGAGGAAAGTCGTGCCGAACGAAAGGAGGGGATAGGGAAAGGGGGGGTTGCGACATCTGCTGCATGCAGCTGGTTTCGGCCCCGCCGCCGGGCCCATTCCTTGATACATGGGCGCCTCCCAGCGCCGGGAGGCGCTGGGAAAATCAGCTACGTGAGCTGATCCTCTACCCTACTCTTTGCTATTCCCCCCTTTCGCTCCGGCAGAGAAAGGGGGGAGGAGGAACGGGAGGGAGGGCCGCTGGCCGCGGCGCTGGCCGTCTAAGCCGGCGTGGCGCCGCACGTTTTTCGGCGCCTGCTGGTTCGTGGCCACATATTGGCGACGGACAGTGGGGGCGTACAAGCGCGGGCGCGCGTGACGGACCCGCGACGCGGCCTTGACGGGGAGGGGGCAGGGGGAGAGGGAGGTTGAGGGAACCTCTTCTCGCCAGGCGATCGCAAACGTGGATCCAGGGGGCGTGGATTAGCGACGGGTCCCGTTTCTTTCGGAAATCGCAGATTTCTGCCGCCGAGCGAGGCGGCACCGGCCGCATTTTGGGGAGGGCACCTCCCTCGATACATGGATTTGGCGACCGCGCGCCAAATCTATGGATCGCTAATTCATTTTTGCGAGCCCCCGATGAAGGGGGGGGAGGGGAGGGGGAGGTGGAGGGAACAGGCAGCCTCCCCCCGCTCCCCCCCTTTTCAGGTGCATCAGCGACGATCATCTTTCTTCGTCCCGCCGTCCCGCCGTTGTCGCCTCCCTCATTACCTCATGTTTATTCGGGGGCAAGCTGGTCTCCAGCTCCAGCTGGTGGAGGGCTACCAAGTGCTCTAGCTGGATGGGGGGACAAGCCCGCAGCGTCGAGGGCTTCGAGGGGAGGAAACTCGGAGCTCGGCGGTCCGCGAAAAGATGCCAGAGGGCATCGTTGCCGGGGGTGTGCACTACGCTGAAGACGCCGTGCAGACCGAAGGGGAGGGAAAAGAGGGGAGGAAGAGGCAATATGATTATCAAGCTTTGTGTGGGCTTGGAAGTTACCTCAACTGGTCTTTAGGGATGGAACGGTCGTCGGCGAAGCCCTGGCGACTGGGGCAGCTTGTGGACAACTACTGCTGCCACTGTTTGTCCGGACGCCCCGATCTTGGGCTTCGGCCCTGTTTTTTGAAGGGTGAAAGAGGGGGTCTGCAGCAGGGGGTCTTCAATGGGGGCTGAATGGCCCATGTATGCTCAATGTATCGTTCAT